TTTATTTTATTATTTTATTATCTTATTTTACATTGTTTTGTTTTATTTTTTATTATTTTATTTTTTACTTTATTTTATTTTACTTTGTTTTGTTTTATTTTATTTTTTATTATTTTATTTTTTACTTGACTTTATATTTTACTTTGTTTTGTTTTATTTTATTTTTTATTTTATTTTTTACTTTATATTTTATTATTTTATTATTTTATTTTACTTTGTTTTGTTTTATTTTATTTTTTATTATTTTATTTTTTACTTTACTTTATATTTTATTTTACTTTGTTTTGTTTTGTTTTTTATTATTTTATTTTTTACTTTATTTTATTTCACTTTGTTTTGTTTTGTTTAATTTTTTATTTTATTTTTTACTTTATATTTTATTATTTTATTTTACTTTGTTTTGTTTTATTTTATTTTTTACTTGACTTTATATTTTATTCTATTTTATTATTTTATTTTATTTTATTTTATTTTATTTATTATTTTATTTGGGTATATCCTGCGTTTATTATTTTTGTAAATCATTCAAGGCAGTGGGATATATCCAACACGCCTTCCTCCTATTTTCCCCACAAGAACAGCTTGTGAGGTGAATTGGGCTGAGAGACAATGACTGAACCAAAGTCACCCAGCTGGCTTTCATTCCTAAGGCAGGACTAGAACTCATCGTCTCCTGGTGATTGGCCCAAATTCACCCAGCTGGCTTTCACGTCTAAGGCAGAACTAGAACTCACCGTCTCCTGGTGATTGGCCCAAAGTCACCCAGCTGGGAGTTGGAGTCCACAAGTCTTAAAGTTGCCAAGGATGAGTTGAAGGACTATAAATCCTGGCCAAAATACCAGCCCCTTGTGCCCCCCTGTCCCCACCACAGCTCATAAGGAAGGGAACTCCCTTCTGGAAGCATCCAGAATTATTTAATTAAGTTTTGTTCCCTGGTTTCATTCTGAGTTCCAAACCTACTCCAGTATCCAAATTGGCAGCTGCTGCAAGTGGTAATGGTGTTCATTTTGCAAAATACTCACTTTCCAATCAGGGGCACCGCCTGAGATGTTTCCGGCACCTTTTTTGCAATCAGAAAAAGGAAGACAGTCTGGGCTAAGAGGACGTTGATGGAGACCGTGCACTTCTGCCCACCAGCTGTGGAAATAAGAAAAAGGAGGGTGTGCTCCTCTTGTAAAAGATGAGAGGAGAGAGAGGAGAGGGAGAAGGAGAGGAGAGGAGAGGGAGAGGAGAGAGGGAGGGAGAGAGAGAAAGAGAGAGGAGAGGGAGAGGAGAGGGAGAAGAGAGGGAGAGATAGAAAGACAGAGGAGAGAGAAAGGAGGGAGAGGGAGAGAAGAGAGGAGAGGGAGAAGAGAGAGGGAGGGAGGGAGTGAAAGAGAGAGGAGAGGGAGAGAAGAGAGGAGAAGGAGAAGAGAGAGGGAGGGAGTGAAAGAGAGAGGAGAGGGAGAGGAGAGGGAGAAGAGAGGGAGGGAGAGAA